TCAGAAGGTCAGAAAAGGTGATCCCATGATCCTGGGACACAGCAACCGTCATAAATATGAGTCAGTTACCAAGTAACTGAATTTTGACCATGTGACCATGGGGATGATGCAATGGTTGTAAGTGTGCAAAAAGGTCATAAGTCAGTGCTGTTTTTTCAGTGCTGTTGTAACTTCAAACAACCACTAAACGAATTGTTGTAAGTTGTGGATACCTGTATTAGAAATCTTCACTTCATTATTTTGATTATCTGCCATTAAATCACTGTTGAGCCTTAGCAACTACATAGATAGATTTCCTCTGTGTTGATCTATCCATAACCTGGTGTACCTGTCACCACTTATCTGAATCTATCTGCTGGTCATCCTCTTCTTCTACCTTCCACATTTACCAGCTTTTATATGGAATGGGATAACTCGCCATGGCCAACTCACTGTGGCCAATTCGCCATGGTCAATTTACTGCAGGACAACTCACCACAGTACAATTCAACGATTCCATTTAATTATTTAAAATAATTAAAAAAATATTTTAATTTTTGTCATTTACATTTCCTTTTGCCCCTTCCTTCCTTTGGCATTCTTTCTTTAATGATTCTATTCCACAATTTCTTTGATATTAATGTAACTCTTATCCCACGGTGAGTTGTCCTGTGGCGAGTTGGCTGTGGCTAATTGTCCCACGGTGAGTTGGCAACAATGAGTGGGCTGGGGTGAGCTGGCCATGGTGAGTTGTCCTAGATCTGCATTAGAACCTTCTTCAGAGAGCTACACAGTAAGTCTTTATATACGGGGTCCAAAGTAAGATAATTTGAGCTTGGTTGTTTGTGGCCTTGAATGAGAACTTTGGTTAATTTGTTCAATGATCCATCAATTTGTTTTCTTGGTCATCCACAGTATTTTCAGTTTTCTCCAACACCAAATTCCAAAGGCATCAATACCATTCCTATCCTGCTTCTTCAATCTCCAACTTTCACTTCCATAAGATGCCACAGAGAACACTATAACTCTCAGGATTCTGATTTTTGCAAGGAGCTTCCATTGGGAAGTAAGTTAGCTTGCAGACTTCTTCTACCAGTTAATTACTATTAGTATGTATAAAATACAAGACACTAAGCTCTTCAGTGCATTGTGTTGTTACACTTTCCTGCCTTTACAGTCATCTTCTAATTTAGGAAGACTGAAACTTCAAAGAGAGGCTTTTACCTCCATTAATCCATTAAACCTTTTATTTAAAATTTAAAGAGACACATGTGAATGAAAAGCTACCTCCAACTCTGCTCCTTTTCAATATCATTTCCTGAGACCCCTTGTACTTACAAATTATTCAGCCAGTTGTTTCATCAAAGAAGATGATTCTACTATATACATATGCCAACTAGGAGGTAAGTATAGTGCAATTATGCCCAAGGCATGATTAGCCAATAGGATTTCTCCACATTGGCAGTGGAGAAAGTAGGAGGACAGAAAGGTAAACCATTTCTCTGACCTGTAAATTGTTGCTTGTAGAAAACCAATTTTCACAGGACCTCCCCCACCCCTTTCCCCACAACATTCAAGCTCAGTCATGGTAAATCCTTAGATGAGCACAATACTTTTTCCTTCCTTTCTGTTGCTGGGAAATGAAGTCAGGGAATAACAAGTTTGGTTATTAAATACAGCAATACCTCAGTACTCATTGTTAATTGGTTCTGGGAGGCGCAACGAATACTAAAAACAAATTACCAAACAAACTATGTAATTAACACGTCATCCCAGTGGTGAAATCCATTTTTTTTTACTATCTGTTTTGTGGGCATGGCTTGGTGGGCGTGGTGTGGCTTGGTGGGCGTGGCAGGGGAAGGATGCTGCAAACTCTCCATTCCCACCCCACTCCAGGGGAAGGATACTGCAAAATCCCTATTTCCTCCCCACTCCTGGGGAAAGGATATTGCAAACTCTCCATTCCCACCCCACTCTGGGGCCAGCCAGAGGTGGTATTTGCCGGTTCTCTGAACTATTTACAGACCCCTCACATCCTGGACATAACGACGCTATAGAGCACTGCACACCAGAACAACAAGACACAAGAACAGTTTTTTTCCCGAATGACATCACTCTGCTAAACAAATAATTCCCTCAACACTATCAAACTATTTACTAAATCTGCACTGCTATTAATCTTCTCATCGTTCCCATCACCCATCTCCTCCCACTTATGACTGTATGACTGTAACTTTGTAGCTTGTATCCTTATGATTTATATTGATATTGATTGTTTCCTGATTGCTTATTTGTACCCTCTGACTATCATTGAGTGTTGTACCTTATGATTCTTGATGAACGTATCTTTTCTTTTATGTACACTGAGAACATATGCACCAAGACAAATTCCTTATGTGTCCAATCACACTTGGCCAATAAAGAATTCTATTCTATTCTATTCTATTCTATTCTATTCTATTCTATTCTATTCTATTCTATTCTATTCTATTCTATTCTATTCTATTATTCAAAATTTCCACTGAAATTCTCTCAGCTGCTCAAAATTTTCACTACCAGTTCTCCAGAACCTATCAGAACCTGCTGGATTTCACACCTGGGTCACCCTTTGTTTTGGCCAGAAAGGGCGAGACAAGAGGCAATCAACAAGTTCTAGCTTGTGTGTCGAGTACTAAACAAATGATGAGTACCAGGACAAAAATTTCATCTCAAAATGCATCGAGTTCCAAATTGAATGAGTTTCAAAGCAGTCAAGTACTGAGGTATGACTACTGTAAACTGAAAGTGTTAGGAATTTGGGAAGAGTCCCTAATGGTATTTCTAAACCAAGGATTAGTAACCCAGGTTTTTTCTAAACAAAAAAGCTTTTCTGTTGGATGGGGAATTTCTATATTTGGAAATCATTGTTTTGCAAGTGGAGTTAGCTTTCTAGTTTGTTTAATATTTTATTAACCTACTACTAGGTCTTGACTATCCTTTTTCTTCACAAGGTGACCTCCTGTTTCAGTTTCCAGTGGTGTCTTTTTTTCCCGGTCTCAATGTGAGTTAATGCAGCAGCAAGGTTCATTACATCATCACCCTTGTCCTTGTGGGTGGGTGGTGGGAGTCTGATTTCAAAGCAATATGTGGGAACAGTGTCAGGCGACATACATATTGGTTCTGACACAGAAGTGTTTTTGGATTGCCACAGTGGCAATTTTCATTTTATTTATGCTTCATTTAAGAAAAAATAAATAAATGGATGTTCATTAGAAGCATTCTAACTATCTGGTTCTCTGCAGGCCTTTGCAGTGGAAAGGTGGTTACAGCCTGTCAGTTTTCCCACTTTTTTGCATTGACATGTATGTTCCATTCTGAATTTCCCACAACTGAGTAAATCTGCAACAGTAAAGTCCGTAATTGTCGGACCATCTGCAACCAGCAACAGCTCCCCATCGCCCGGTGCGTTCTCACAGGGAGGGCTTACTCAGGGTGCCGTCGGCTAGACAGTGTCGACTGGCGATCCCTAGAGGCAGAGCTTTCTCTGTGGGTGCTCCCACCCTCTGGAACCAACTTCCTCTGGGGCTCTGGTTGGCTCCTGACCTCCGCATCTTCCACCGCGACTTAAACACATGGCTGTTCAGCCTGGACTGGGGGGGGTGTTAACATGTATTTTAACACGCTTTTATTTGGATATTTTATTGTTGTGAGCCGCCCTGAGTCCTACGGAGCTAGGGCGGCATATAAATCAAATAAAATAAATAATGGTATTTCTAAACCAAGGATTAGTAACCTAGCGCTGCTTAAGACCAAAGAGGTCTTCTACCCCTTATTCCTAAAAGTAGTCGCCACAATTTTCCACCAGTCTGAAATCCTGAAAACTAGTCTTATACGGTACACAATTTTTGGTAGGAAAGAGCCAATGATGGAATGGCAACAACATCGTGCAAATGCCGTGGCTTGCATAGTTGTGTCAGATCCAGGATGTAAATACATCATAGTGGTGTTTGTATGTGTGCATCATCATTTTATTGCCATTCAAGTTTCTTGCAGATCCTACTGGACTTATAATAAATGTAACACTTGATATTAGAAATAATCTCATTTCGCCTGATCCGCCAGTTGCAGCCCTTTCTGGACTGGGATGCCTTGCGCACGGTCACTCATGCCCTTGTCACCTCCCGGCTGGACTATTGTAATGCTCTCTACATGGGGCTCCCCTTGAAGAGCACTTGGAGGCTCCAACTGGTCCAGAATGCGGCCGCGCGGGTGGTTATGGGCGCAACTCGTGCCCGCGTGACACCCCTCCTGCGCGAGCTGCACTGGCTCCCAGTGGTCTTCCGGGTGCGATTCAAGGTGTTGGTTACCACCTTCAAAGCGCTCCATGGCATAGGACCCGGGTACCTTCGAGACCGTCTTCTGCCACCAATAGCCTCCCACCGACCAGTCCGTTCCCACAGAGAGGGTCTCCTCAGGGTGCCATCAGCCAAATTATGTCAGCTGGCGACACCCAGGGGGAGGGCCTTCTCTGTGGGAGCCCCAGCCCTGTGGAATGAACTGCCCCCAGAAATATGTAAGATCTCCGATCTCTAGGTGTTTCGCTGCGCACTGAAGACCCTGTTGTTCCGCCAGGCAGGGCTATCAACATAATAATTTTAAATTGGGGTATTTTAAATTTTTGGGGTTTTAAATCGGCCAAATTTATTTAATTATTTTAATTTTTAATTATTGTTGTGTCCTGTGTTTTTAAATTGGCTGTACACCGCCCTGAGTCGTTCGGGAGAAGGGCGGTATAGAAATAAAATTATTATTATTATTATTATTATTATTATTATTATTATTATTATTATTATTATTATTATCATCAAAAAGTATCTGCAAAAAATTCAGGGAGTAAAATAAGCTCAATCCACCTTTCCTCATCAGCCTACTCACTGTGGCCCTCTGGTTCCCCACAAAAATGTGCTTGCACACTCCTGATCTGCACAGAGGTTTTCTGCAGAGGATAAGAAACTCAAGAAAGGGAAATAAGTTTAACTTACAGTGGAAATGAACAGCACTGGTACTGCTGGATAAGTTGGAAATCTACAACATTGGAAGGAACTACTGTTTCTTATACATCACACCTTATGTGGGCAATGTATCTATGAAGTCATCAAGAAAAAAAAAAACCTGTTGTGTTTGTCTCAGCAGGTCTACCATCTGGCCAGCCTTGTTAGAAATGTAGCAGTAGGGAATCACTGGGGAAATTTGGGTGTAAACTCAGTGGAGAAGTTGTAAATACATTCTGGAAAAAAGCCAAAGGAGAATCATTGGTAAACTGTCGCCAATTAAATTGGACTGATAAGTCCATGTAGTCATCAGGAATAAAGTGCAACCTGAGAGTATTTTTAACGGTGAGTTGCTGGCAAAGCTCTACTCCTTGTCTGTGTTATTTGCCAAGATTATGCCGTTAGAAAATACAGGTAGTCCTCGCCTTACAACAGTTCATTTAGTGATCATTCAAAGTTACAACGGTAACTGAAGTTACAACGGTACAACTGAAAAGAGTGACTTACGACACTGTTTTCATACTTACCACCCTTGCAGCATCCCACGATCATGTGATCAGAATTCAGGCACTTGGTAACTGACTCACATTTATGATGGTTGCAGTGTTCTGGGATCTTGTGATCCCCTTTTGTAACCTTCAATGAGGAAGCTGGATTCACTTAACAACTGTATTACTAAGTTCACAACTTTAGGGATTCAGTGGCAAGAAAAGTTGTAAAACGGGGCAACATTCACTTAACAAATGCCTCACTTAGCAACAGAAATTTTGGGCTCAATTGTGATTGTAAGTCAAGGACTACCTACCTAGTTTATGCTGAGTTTTATATAGGTGCAGCAATCATATATAGGTTACTCTGAACTTATGACCACAATTGGGATCGGAGTTTCCACCTTAAGTCATTGCAGTTGTAAATCGAGTAAGACCTCATTTTACCTCAGTTTTTTCAATGGTTGTTAAGCACATCACTGCATCCGTTAAGTGATTCGCATAATTGTTCAGCGAATCCGTCTTCCCCAAATGGGTTCTTTTCTTGGAAATTGGCAAAAAAAAAAAAAAAGGTTGCAAATTCCAAACATGCGACTGCAGTGTGCTGCACCTGTTGTGACTGCAACATCTGGTTGCCAAGCAGCAAAAATGCGATTGCATGACCACAAGAGCGATGCAATAGTTATAAGTGGGAGTACAGGTCATAAGTCCCTTTTTCCAAGGTGGTTGCAACTTTATTATTTATATATGGAATTTATGGAATTGCCACCCATCTCACTGATAAACAACTCTAGGCAGCTTACAAATGATAAAAAGATAACTATAAAACAATTAACAGTTTAAAAGTTATGTAAGAACTAAAACCAAGAAGATGGATGGCATGACAGGGAGGTTATCTTGTCCTGTCAACCATCTCTTGCAAGATCCATTGGGGCTTCAAGCCAACTGGCAGAAGCACATTTTAATGCCCCTCCAGAAGGCCAGGAGGGCGGGAACAGATTTTACCTCTAATGGTAGAAATGCCCCACAGGTTAGGGTCCATAGTGGAAAGGGCTCTTCTCCTTGACCTCACCAGCTGAAATTCCTTAACTGATGGAGTCTGAGGTAATCCTCTTCTGTTGGAGCAAGTGGGGCAGGATAATTCTATTGGGATGAGATGGTTCCTCAGATACTCTGGACCCATGCCCAGAGATCTTTAAAAGTCTTTAAAGGTAGTGACCAACACTTTGAATTGGACCTGGAAGCAAACTGGCAATCCATGCAACTCACATAAACAGTGGTGTTAACATATGGTACCCTAGAGACCTCCAGAACTGTCTACATTCTACATCATCTGTAGCTTCCAAATACTCTTTAAGGGTAGCCCCATCTAAAACTTTGAACGGTCGTATGTTGAGGGCAATCTATAATAGCAATAGCACTTAGACTTATATACCGCTTCACAGTGCTTTACAGATGCCTCTCTAATCAGCATATTGCCCCCAACAATCTGGGTCCTCATTTTAACGACCTCGGAAGGATGGAAGGCTGAGTCAACCTTGAGCCTGGTGAGATTCGTATATAACTTCTTCTTGAACTGCCTGGTTATGAGTGGCTGAGTTGCTATACTGAAAAACAATCCTGGACATAGGATTGATATTTGAAAATAGATACCTCACAAACATACTCAGCATCGAACTGAAGTTTGGCATAGGCTGGTCAGGTTCTTGTGGTAATGTGATTTAGTTCTTATGATAAGCAGTATTGCAAACTACCCGATACTTCATTCTTATTGCCGTACAAGAATTGTAGCTTGCACATTTAAGCCCATGGATTCTAATGAGCTAAATCTCTTTTCCTTTGAGTTGCTTCCATTCTCTTTATTTTCTCTCTAAATTGCATTCCATATGTTATCTCGATAATCTTAACCACAACAGTAGTATCGGTCCCATATTACAGATGGGCTCTAGCTGCAAGAAAGATAAAAAGAAGTTTTCTTCTCTGCGGCAACTTGGATGTATTCTCGACTTGCACGAGATTGTCCCCTTGGCTCACGGCTCATTTTCTTAACCAGTAGATGAAAGAAGTTTGCCGTTGTTGGAGGCAGAGTCCCATCTGAGTGGATAATGTGCAAAGATTCGCATCAGGACAGCTCCCATGAGGGTCTTATACCGTGTCCTTGTTTGGCTTTGCACATTACTGATGCTCATTAGTAAGTACACAGAAGGAATGTTAAGGAAAAGTTGTTCCATATTCTGGGAAAAATTGGCCTAATTCATTTCCTCTACCAAAAACAAACAAGCCACCAATGCTATGATTGATTCCCTAAAACCTTGATTAGCAGACGCAGAATGCCATACCTATTTTGAATGGCTACTTTCTTCTTAAATTCAATCTCCTTATTAGTCTCCAGAAACAGGTCTTTCTAAGATTAGAGAACACAAAAGCTTGGGGGAAGGGTGGGGGTGGGGGGTGACAGAAACAGATGTAAGTCTTTAAACCACCTCTCCCTATTGGTTCGCATTGCCAACCTTGGGGAAGTTTAAATACTTTGGCTTAATTAAACCAAAAGCCATTTAGTTGGTTAAATAATATTTCTCTCATTGCTTACAACAGAAGGAGACCCTTCTTCATCTTTATCTTGATCTCGAACAGGGAACACCCTGGGCTTCATCAAATGCTCTGAGTTTACAATGTTGTGGCAATGCTCTTCCTAGCAGTTTAAATTGTTGTTGTTATTGTTGGTGTGTCTGTGTATGTGTGTGTGTGTGTGTGTGTGTGAATTCAAAATCCCCTTCAAGCCAGGGGTGAAATTCAGCAGGTTCTGACAGGTTCTGGAGAACCGGTAGTGGAAATTTTCAGTAGTTCGGAGAACTGGCAAATACCACCTCTGGCTGCCTCCAAAGTGGATAGGAATGGAGATTTTGCAGTATCCTTCCCCCAGGAGTGGGGAGGGAATGGGGATTTTGCAGTATCTTTCCCCTGGAGTGGGGTGGGAATGGAGATTTTGCAGTATCCTTCCCCCAGGAGTGGGGAGGGAATGGGGATTTTGCAGCATCTTTCCCCTGGAGTGGGGTGGGAATGGAGATTTTGCAGTATCCTTCCTCCAGGAGTGGGGAGGGAATGGGGATTTTGCAGTATCCTTCCCCCTGGAGTGGGGTGGGAATGGAGATTTTGCAGTATCCGTCCCCAAGCCACATCCACCAAGCCACAGCATGCCCACCAAGCTAATCCCACAGAACCGGTAGTAAAAAAAAATTGAATTTCACCACTGCTTCAAGACACAAACGACACCGTCTCTTGACCTACCTGCATACAGGAACATGGGAAGGATTAAACATATACTTCCTAGAGGCTTTCAAATTTCTTATTGGGTGTATATGAATTGATGTGAATACTATGATTTATCTGAATTATTGTACTGATCCTTCTGCTTTTTTTTTTTTTAATTTGATTTATATGCTGCCCTTTTCCGGAGACTCAGGGCGGCTTACAATGCGTTAAGCAATAGCCTTCATACTTTTGTATATTTATACAAAGTCAGCTTATTGCCCCCACAAACTGGGTCCTCAATTTACCTACCTTAGAAAGGATGGAAGGCTGAGTCAACCTTGAGCCTGGTGAGATTCGAACTTACAGTAATTGCAGGCAGCTGTTCTTCATAACAGGGTGCTTTAGACCACTGTACTACCAAGGCTCTTTTCAATTAAATTAAATCAATTGTATTTGATGCTTCAATGGATGCATCAAATACAATTGACTTAATTTAGTCAGCTGCTTTCCTTTGATAAGAGGGCTGTAGGAACACTGTGACGGTTGTAAGTGTGAGAATTGGTTGTAAGTCACTTTTTTCAATGCCATTGTAACTTCAAACAATTGCTAAACAGATGGTTAAAAGTCAAGGACTACTATACCTAGTCTGGATGGTGCATAAGATCCTGGTAACTCTTTTTTAGACTGGCCCCAATTTTGCCTATTATAGAAGCATGCATTGAAAATAAATCAAGCAAATGTTATAACTATCTCCTGGGACCTCTCAAGCATCGCCAAAGAATATGCTGCACCTGTGTTGGACTCCATCTCCCATCAACCTAAGCCAGCTGAGTCAATAGGACTTTGAAACATGCGAAGTGTCAGATATCTGATCACTGGGTCAGCTAACCTAGGAATGTAGATGCTGGCTGGCTGAAGCTTCTCAGAATGTCAGAACAATAAATCTGTTAAGCTGTTCTATGTTTATATAATGCCTTGGGAGAGGGAAGTACATTCCTTTTTTTTTTTTTTTTTTTGAAATAATAAAAACAGATTTCTGGCAACCACAGGTAATTGACCCAAGGACATCCTGGGTGTCAGTCTAATTGCTAAATTGGGTCTTGGCACAGCCAGCTAGACAATGGAGGCAACGAGCCAACACTGCAGTGACAAATATTGTATATTGCCAAAAATTTCAATGCATTAAAGCAATTAGTCAGCCTCCATCAGACTGATGAAACCGGACTGTTAGGAGAAAGCTGTTAATTTAAGCAAAACTGAAAACCCAGGATGGGTGCCCCTTATTGGTTTTAAGGAGAAAAACCAAGAATCTTACAG